TTTTTTTTTTTTTTTAATTCCAACAAATTTTAAAATGTCTTAACAAATCTCAGTCTTAATTTAATAATAAGTTAAATAACTGAGAATTTTATAAGATTTTTTAAAATCTCAAATGAATATCTCTGAGACTTTTAAAAGTGCTCAGAAGTCTAAATTAAATAGACCAGAATTTCTAAAATTTAAAAGGTGTTTAGTGATCCTAAATGAATTCACAATTCTTAGTGTCACATAAGTTAAGTACCTCATGATTTTTGAATCAGTACATATGAAATTATTTAATTAAAAAATTATAATTCCAATTGATTAAATGTTCAAAGTAAGACACAATCAGATTGCAACTAGGAAAATAAATAAATAAAAACTAAATCCATATTGCAAAAATCATAAGAATAAAAAATCACAATCAGATTGCAAAGCTTAATTTACCTCATAATTAATGTCCCTCAATTTATAAATAATAATGGGCAAAAAAAAAAAATTAATTATAATAAAATAAAATAAACACAACACTCCATAAATCAACCAGATGATCAAACCAATTCTTTTACACAAGATTTAGTTTTTTTTTTGGTCCTCCCATCAACATGACAACAAAACATCTACTAACATGTTTGATATTTTATGCATATCTTTTCCCGTTCGGGTCCAGCTGCTTCTGGTTCACCCGAGTCCAGATTAATATATACAATGACATCAATACCCCTTCGACTCCGTTACTCGTGCACTGCATGTCCAAAGACGACGATCTCGGAACGCATACGCTGAATTACGAGCAAGGGTTTCGCATCGTTTTTTGCCTAAAACCTTTCTCGACTTTGTTTCATTGCCAGTTTCAATGGGGCGATAAGGGCAAGTCCTTTGATGCATACAAGGCTTCATGGTGGTACGGAAAGCCTTGTTATGATCATTATTGCGATTGGGTAGCAAAAACTGATGGGATTTACTTGTCCTATAAGAAAAGATTTGATTGGGAGTAAGTGAGTAACAAACTATATACTATTCTATACACAAGTTTGGTGAAACTAGGTTTGTGTTGATTGATATGATATATGTATGAGAAAATAAATCTTTGAGGAAAAAAAAAAATGATTGTTGATTTTTTTTTTTCCCCTTTTTGTAGTTTTATATTGTTTTTCTTGCAAGTACTTAAAATATGGTTTGAAAGAGAATAGGAACTTTATAGGACAATGATTGAGATTTTAAAGAAAAACTTCAACAGAAATTATGTTCCAACGAACGAACATCCTTGTGTTATTTGTTATTAGTCTCGTTGGAAGTTTTCAAAGGATTTTAACGAAATTATTTCTTTTTTTTTTCGAGACGTTAAATATATTAATAACTGAAAATTTGAAAATGAGTACACCCGAGCTGTGAACGAACAAGCACAAAGGCTGGATCTACCCCTTTTAGAATTACACAATCAACCAAGAGGGTACAATCACCTACAAAACACAAAAGCTCCAAACTACAGACTTAACAACTCCAAAATGGAGACAACAACTCTATAAAGGAGATTAAAGGCAGACGTAGCTGAACCAAAACGAAGACAACAAACAAATGAGAAACACTACAAAGAGAAGAAAAAATACTAACACCTAAGTAGTACAATAAACCCCTCCTCACTACTAACCACAAGAACCTAATCGTTGGAAATAGTTTTCTACTAGAAGTATTTGGAATGCCAGTTGGATTTTGACAATTTCAACGACAAATTTTCCAACGTTGTAATATAATTAAAAAAAATTCTAACGAAAATTACCACATTGATAATCTCTCTGTCTGCCCGGAAAGAAAATCCGGGTCAGCGATCACTATGCCTTCTTCTGCTTTCTTAAGTAGCTGGTCCGAGTCCAATATGTCTTTTTTATTAAGTAGGCTATTCAGTCAGAGTCTTATTGGACCAATCCTACTGGCACCGAGAAAACTTCTTCTTGTTCCCCGGACCACCTTCCACGTCATAGACATTATGACATCTTTCAATCTTCTTCTGAGTAAGAATGATAAGAAACCGTTGCGCGTTAGCGCATCCGTTTTCTTGCTGCTTCGTTTCTAAAGTTGGGAAGGTTCGATGAAATTGACGATACAAACGACTCTTTTAGATCCTGGCTAGGTTTTCGTGCGAATGGATCTTATCCATTGATGAAAAGAAAGGAGAACAAAGTGAGACTCGACCCCAATTTCGTTTCATTGTGGAAAATGTTGGAATTTTTCTACTAAAGTTGTAGTATTTAAATAGCCGTATCTATGCATGAAAACCAATTAACAGGTAATTAACAGGCTGATCTTCAGAAATTTCACTCTTTCATTCCACATTATTACCAGTCCTGCTTTTTTCTTGCCTGACCCGAAAGTGACCCATTAGTCGGATCCAAATACTTTGGCGAATTTCAGGGCTCCGAACTATCGCCATTTGCACGAATTACCCAAGAAACTCCCAGCGGAAGAAGGCCTTGATGGCAATTTGGGCACGATAGGTTGGTTGATGGAGCTTTTTTCAGCTTAAAACTATTAGATATTCCCCTTTATTAGAAGGCTAAAACGAAAGATGACTCTGAATCATACTTTATATGAGACAATGTGTTGATGGTAGTTTATTCTGATAATGTGTTGCTCGCTACCTGTTTGATAGAATGTCTCAACCAGATGGTGTATATGCTCTTTAACAATTGGTCTTACTTTGGTGATTTTGCTTTAAAGGGCTTTTAATTGAAGCCCGGGTGTGCATTTTGCTGAGCTTCTGCATTAGATTAGGTGCTCCATTGTAATTGAGCTCTCCGGAAAACAGTGCTTTTAGCATATCACACGACCATTAACTTTACAAAATGGCTGTAGGGGGAAATTGTTCGTCTTTTCCTGTTCTGGGCATGTCCTTACCGCGTATGGGCCAATATGTGTTGTTTGGCAGGGTATGAAAAGTGAAAGAAGACTCCCTCTACTCTTTTGAGAAGCCATGGAAGCTGCTACACAGATCGTATTGCTTATGCTCTTGTTTATCGTCACAGCCGTACCTCTTTCCATCGCCGGAGAAAATTTCGACGTCCGCCGCCATCTATCCACAGTTACTAGGTCTCTCTCTCTCTCTAACACACTTCCTCTCACTATTCAATTTGTAGGATGTATAATTTACTGGAATTTAATCAAAATTTTCAATATATTCCATGGCGTGCTTAATTAGTAGCATACAGTAAGTGCAGTGATTTTGTTTATTCATTTTTTTTTTTTTTTTTGTTCGAGTAATTTTTTTAGCTGATTTGCATGTGTATCTTCGTCTTCTATGCAGATATCAAGTCGCTAAGGATATTTATGAAAATTCACACATTCCTTCAAGAATTCCTGATCAGTGTAGGCCTGTCCACTTAAATCTTGTGGTAATTCCTATACATTTTTTTCAATGTTGTTTCGAGTAATTAGTAGTGGTTTTATTGTTATCTGAAGAAGTCTTTTCGCTGTACTGTGGTGGTTTTGAGTTATCTTGCTCGAGATTCTGGATTGGTCATGGTTCGATTTGAAGTGGTTTAGCAGTTTATGTACTGAAACTGCATGAGAATGTTTGTGTCTGTGGCTGCTTTCTGGATATCTGATCATATATATGCTCTTTAGCTTGACCAATCTAAGGTCCCATGCCATCTTTACCATTACCCGACTTGCTCTGTTAACATAATTTATTCTTTGCAGTTTGCAAATCTTTGTTTAAGAGCTTTTAGATCCATCGTTAATTAATGAAAATTTTGAACTCTACATGTTTTGTAATATGTATGCACTTTGCCACAAATACTTGGTCTAATGATTTGGCAGGCAAGGCATGGCACTCGAGCTCCTACCAAGAAAAAGATGAAAGAACTAACTGCCTTGTCCACTCGCCTGGAAGTCCTTCTAGAAAATATGAAGGAGCAGATTGTAAACGTGGTTCCTGCATGGCTACGTGGATGGAAATCTCCATGGACAGGAAAGCATAAGGGTGGTGAGTTGATAAGTGAAGGAGAAAATGAACTGTATGAACTTGGTATCAGGACCAGAGAAAGGTTTCCAGAATTGTTTAATGAGGATTACCATCCTGATATCTATCCAATTAAAGCCACTCAGGTTTGTCATTTATTAGTTGTATTCATTCACGTATAATGTGGAAAGTCACTTGAATATTGTCTTTGGAGCTCTTAATTTTTTTGCACTTTCCTGATATTGCATGTTGTGATTCGCAAGCTATAGTTCACCTTATAATGTGTCTGTGTCTTAATATTTTTTGGTATTGGGGTCGATACTTTCTATTCATAGCGTGAGTATATTGACCGGTAGCTTACCTGTGCTAAATTTTTTTCCTGTCATGGATTTATTAGATTTCACGAGCCTCGGCTAGTGCTATAGCTTTTGGCTTGGGGCTCTTCAGCGGTCGTGGAAATCTTGGTCCAGGACGTAATCGAGCTTTTGCAGTTACCAGTGAAAGCCGTGCTAGTGACATAATGTTGAGATTCCATGATTGCTGTCAAAACTACAAGGTAAAATCGCTTCTGAAGAGTTTGTGGAAATCCAATATTTGTGCATGCCTCTACCATGTGCCTGCTTATATTATTGGTACTTGTATCTGTGTGTGACTTTTGATCCACCTGCTTATATTTTTGGTACTTCTGAAGAATTCTGCAATGTCCATTATTTATGAATGAAAAAGGCATTCAGGAAAAGTCAAGAACCATATGTGGATAAGCTCAAGGAACCTGTGCTGGATGAAATAACTCGAGCATTAGTTACCCGTTGGGGTCTGAATTTCACTCGACGAGATGTTTCATCCATGTGGTTTCTGTGCAAACAGGTAATTTTTGTCCTTGTTTTCTGTACTTTTTGCTATGTATTTGTAATGCATTCAGGATGCAAGTGTATTGAATTTATGTGACTTGTAGGAAGCTTCTCTATTGAACAAAACAGATCAAGCCTGTGCTCTGTTCATTCCAGATGAGGTACTGGCACTTTCTTTTCCACCTGTCAAAGTTGAGTGAGTGGCTTGATAGTTTTGGATTATTTGGATATTTCATGTCTGGGTGCACTTCCTCATAAAGTCTTCCTTTGGTAGCATTTAAAAGAAAATGTTAAAGTGGCATAAACTGGGAAATATGTCCTTTGTAGGTTCGTTTGTTGGAGTGGACAGATGACCTGGAGGTCTTTATACTGAAAGGCTATGGTAATTCATTGAATTACCGTATGGGAGTTCCATTACTTGAAGATGTAATCCGGTCAATGGAGCAAGCTATTAAGGATACTGAAGGTATGTTTCTTTATATACATCATTATCCTTGTTCATTTATTGGGGTATGTAATATCCAGGAGGCAGTTTTAGCTTCAAGGTTGAGAGAATGAGGGACACGGCACAACAAAAATCGCGGCATTGTAGAATATATATTTACATCAAAATGAGGGGATTTCTGAGAGCATACAGTGGTAATTAGAGGCTGGTAAACTAATTAGTTTATATCTATGCCTTATTGCCACTTTGCCTTCTCTACATTTAGATGGACATGTTCATGGGAGCTACGAATTGGCCAGACTAAGGTTTGCCCATGCAGAAACACTGCTTCCGTTTTCATGTTTAATCGGACTATTTCTTGATGGAACCGGTAAGCTCTCTAATTGTTTAATATTTGCACCCTCCAACTTTTTTTTTTTTCGTGTCTCCTCCTTTGGGACTAAACTTCAGTTATTTATTTATTTATTTATTTATTTATTTATTTATTTTATTTTATTTTATTTTTTTTCTGGTGGCCCTTCAGGGTTTGCACAAATACTAAGTGAACAACCTTTGAACCTACCTGTCAAACCACCCCAAAAGAGAATCTGGCGTGGCAGCACAGTAGCACCATTTGGCGGAAATAACATGCTCGTTCTATATAGCTGCCAGGCAAACAACACGAGCGAGTACTTTGTGCAAGTACTGCACAACGAACGTCCTATCCCAATGGCGGTAAGCTTGTTACGTCTTTTGTTTTCCTATGTTATGAGATATGCAATCTGGAGTGATTATAAAGGAGCGCACTTCGAGTACTCCTATTACATTATGCATGTAGGTTAAATCTGGCGGTAAGCCTTTTTATTTTTTATTTTTTACTTTTTCAATTTTTAAACCTTTTGTCTTCAACTTTGTCTTGAACTCAATGATGGTCGGTCCTTCTACAGTTCTACTATGGATTTTTGGCTTATTTTTGGGTGTTCGGCTGAGCTAACAGCTTACAATTTTTTTAGAAAATGATTCATTTTCTAAACAAGATCTTACAATTATAAGATGCAAGAACTTGTAATTGTAACATTTTTAAATAAAGTCTATCAGATGTCACTAATTTCTACAGCCATTTTTTATGCAAATTAAGCTTCTCCCACTATTTGCTGAAGCTTTTAGATGATATGGTTTGTCTTCTGTTCATAGGGATGTGGAAATTCCGACTTTTGCCCTTTCGAGGTGTTCAAGGTATGTTTGTTTTCATCATATTTACTTGGTAATTTATTTCCAAAAATTGATTTCCATATAGATTCAACTAAATTCAATATTTGGCTCAACAGGAAAAAATTGCTGCTCCTCATTTGAAGCACGACTACGAGTCTCTTTGTAGTTTGGAAACTGGACAGTCGGGTCAAGTATCCGCAATTACCAAGTTTTTTTGTAAAATAGGGTGTTCGATGTTTTCGACTAACGTTGGACAAGCGTCGAAGACCGAGTTGTAGGTCCAATGGTCAATGGAGGAATGCAAAAGTTTATCTTCATCCACTTCGACTGCTATATAGTCTTGGCTGCTACTCGTGATCGAATTTTGCAATTGGTTTTGTGATCGAATTTTGCAATTGGATGCATTTTTTTTTCCCTATTCCTTGATGACTAGTTTCCACCCGTGCAATGCACGAGAGCATGTATGACCTCCTTGCTTTGTAAAAAATATAGCGATGCAAGGGCATTAATTACCTACTTGATTTTTAAAAGATATTTTGTGTATTTAACTTGTCTCATGGCTTAAAAAATATCATTAATGAAATGTATATAATATTGACAATTTTCTTATGTACAACATTCTTGGTCTGATTTTTTGGACGCAAAGTATTACATGGATGTTCGAATTTTATTTGAAATTGCGTATTATTAGTTATTACTTAACAAATGCCGTTTTTAAAAACAATTAGGAATCGTATTTATTAAACAAAATTCTAGTAGAAAATAAGTAGAGGTTTTTAGGAATATTCACACCATTTTATTTTATATTTAAATCTAATTCAAAATATTTATTAAGAAAAATTGAAAAGAATCATTAGTTTTTTTTATCTAAAAATGAAAGTGAATTTTCTTACCAATAAAAACAACTTTTTTTTTTACCAAAAAAATTGTCCGAATGTTTGGTTAAAACAAAGTGAAAAGAATAATCATTTTTTCCTAAAATTGCAATTGAATTTTTCTAACATTGCATCAATTTTTTTACCAAACAAATTAAATTAAAATCAATTCTAATAAAATATCGGTATAATCTGTTAAGATTTATGCAACTGTTTTTTTTTTTTTTTTTTTNNNNTTTTTTTTTTTTTTTTTCTAAAAAATTGATATGAACTTAATAAAAAAATATATATGAACTTACTAAAATCTCAGTAAAATATGCATTATTAAGAAAAAAATCATAAGAATCTAAAAAAAACGGTGCATTCAAATTTTGAAAAGTTGTACACAATTTTACCTTGAAAAAGTTGCACACGATTTGATTTTGAAAGTAATTATTTCTTGCCTACCAATTCAAATTTTAAGACACGAAAAGAGATTGTATCAAGCCAAGGAGGACAAATTAAATCCTTTTATTATTCTCCAAGATATCCTCCCTACACCTAGTGGAACATGAAATAAAATTTTTGCACTCCCTTTAATTAATGAATTGGAAACTTATAATTACATTGCAATCTATTTGCATAATTGCTCAAATTCAATGCCAAGAGATTTTATGTTATTTTTATGATTTTATATCTCATCAACTTTAATAATTTTAAATTAAAATACTCTAATTTTAAAAAAATAATATAAATAAATATAATAATTTATAGTATTAATATGAATTTTTATATTTAAATAATATATGTCGGATCGAGCCACTTAACAGTCTGATCGCCCCATATAAAAATTTGTGTTCTACCTCTGGCTTAACACATATATCTCAAACATAAATAATGGCTCATTTTATTTTTTTCTACTAATTTTAAAAATAACATTAGAAACAAATATACAATTACATATAAAAGTGGATTTCCCTTTAGTAACAATATTTTAGAAAAAAAGTATAGTCTATTTCCAATATTTTTTAACCTTACATAGATACATAAAAATTACACAAAAAATATACACTAATATTGCTCCATTTGATTACTTTTTAACTCAAATACTGACTCATTTATTTCTTGATTGATACATAATAACACAATAATAAACTATAAATATACAATACATGATTATTTTATTTCTTTTGTGTCCCAAAGATGAAATTTGCCTCTTGGCAAACCAGCACCAGCTTCAATCACAGTCCAAGTGCATTCCCCTTTATTGCAGGGATTCAAAACCCACAAAGCATTATAAGCCTCAAGCCCAATGTGCAAACTACTCCAATTAAGGTTGCAATTGAATAAGGTTGAAAAAGGCTTCACACAGAATTTGAAGCCCCAAGTTTGATTAACCATCAGCCTATGAATTCCGAGATCGTCGTCTCTTGACATGCACTGCACGTAAAGCGGCCACGAATGCTCGGGAAGATTGTTGACGAAACTGACGTGTACTTTGTAGTACAAGAAACAGCTCTGCCCCTTGTGGAGAAGAGCCATAGAGAGGATTAAAAATAGAAAAGGGTAAAGAATGTTTGAAGGTCTAAGCATGATGTTTAATTTGTTGGACTTTTATGTGTGATTGTGTTGATGTGTTTGGTTTTGGTGAAAGTTCATAATTATATAGAGGTGAATTATTGTAATCCTTATACTGGCATGTATGTGAATATTACAACAATAATGTTACAACAATATTGATATATTATCAATATAGACTTATTTATTTTACCAAAAGTTGTTATGTGAAAATGGAAAATATTGAAAGTGCTATGATATGCCATCATAGGTTGCATTTATAGAGAGGCTTGTTCAAATAAAAACTATTTATGTTGTGAAAATCATGAAAATCTTTTTTGATGTGTTTTTTTATTTGTGTATAATGTTAATATAAATTGTTTTCACAAATGTTAATATAAATTATATTGTTATTAAATTTAATAAAATACATCCTGGTGAAAACAACACAAATTAAAACAGAATCAATCATAGCGCTACTCATATAGCAGTTCTCACGTTAAGACTTGGTGATGAGAATGGGGTTTGGGATCCTTTGGACGAGACGGGTCGAAGGCCGAGACAACCCAAGAAGGTTGAGCAAAGGGAAAACAGCGCGCACATGGCCTATGAGACGTGCGCGAGCTCGTATGCGAGGCGCACGAGCAGAAGGAAAGCGACGCGAACCTATGTGAGCATGGCAGCGTATGCACGAGAAGGCCCGTGTATGGCAGCTTGATAGCGCTGGTGCGAGCGCAAGGCTACGCGAGCACGACAGAGACAACGCGCGGATCACTACCGCGTGCTGCGTGCAGGAGTGCGAGGACCGCACACTGCTCGGTGACCACGCACGGGCGATGCTGGAGGCTCTAGCGAGATAAACGAGGACATCCGAGAATGTCCAAGCACGAGCGCGGAGCAGCATCACGCGCGGAAGTACCAGGCGAAAAATAGGAGATTGATGCGCGCGAGTGTGGTGACCTGGCGCAAAGGGACGGGACACGTGCGACAGGGGCGCGCAATGTGTGCGTGGGCGTCGTGTGGACGCGCACGGATGTTGCTCGACACTGTCACGCGCGCAACGGCCAGCGCGCGCGTGTGCGCATCGATGCGTGGTGACCAAGGCTCGAGACTTTTAGAAGGCTTTTGTGCTGAATCTTTTCTAGATTATTCCTTGATATTTCCCACATGTTTTTACTATTTTTTCTAGATTGTTTAGGCCTTGAGTAAGTGTGGTAATTTTAGGATCATTAGTTAATTTATTTTTCATAAGTTAGTAGTTTATTTGCCGTATGAACAAACTATGTTTTTCCCTTAAATACCTGATGTTTCAACGTTTTTATCATCAATTAAGTAATAAAAATCGAACTTTGTTCACCAATCTCTTGTGTTAGAATTCCTAGAGTTTTAATTTATCGCAAAGTCCTTGTGGCGAAAAGGGCGTTTCACCACATAGTTCATCATGAGCTCGAGTTTGTCAAGGATTCACGTCCGAGTGGTCTCACCTATCGCTAAGAACGAGGTGTTCCGCTCAAACCTCTTAAATATAGATGGATATAAAATAAGTACATGAAATATTTGCTCAGAGTCTCTTAAATTTTACACAAGTAAATAACTCTATCAACTCGGATCAATTAATCCGGACTCCAAATAAAATCATTCGAAGAACACAAAGAATCATGTATTAATTGAAGCGACCACCATAGTTTGTCAATCTTTAAAATAAGTCGATCGATTAATAAAACTATTGATGCTCATTTCTCTTGCAAACTAGTCTAGTTTCCTTCTGTTTCTAACTAAAATTCAAATGTCTTGTTGTTTGTTAGGATTTTTTATGTATTGTGGATCTCTATATTTCGTGATATTATCTGTAAATTTTTTATAAATTGAGAGTAGATGATGTTGGGAGAGAGGAGAGTAGAGAATTAGATAAGACAGAAGGGAGAGAGAAAGAACATGTGATTGAACCTCAAAATAACCGCAAATACTTAGGTGCGCCAGGATGCACGATAGTAGCACTGCAAAATAACTGCATCTCATTTCCATTGTCCGCACATTTAACTATTTAGTTGGGTCACACAACAGGCCCAACACAATATCTAGGTAGCGCACTGCAACTAATTAGGGTACATAATCGGGCCTGTGGCTGCAGTTGGCCCAACTTCTTCTTATTTCATCTGACCCATTTTCCTTATTGCCTCCTGACCCAACCCAACCCTATACTACCCTGGCCGGCCGACATCTCCTTCCCATCTTGATTTCACCTGCCCGCATCCTCGGTGCATGACACTCCCCAATTTATTTATTTATTTATTATTTATTTATTTTTTTTTTATTTTTTTTTTATTTTTTTTTTTAATGTGAAGTAGCAAACGATAGTTTCATCACAATTTGTGGCTTTTAGCATTTTAGGCTTGTCTTGTCTACAAAAATTATATTGAACTTATACACTATAGCCTCTACAGAGGGACAGTTGTTGCAGTTTATAACTTTATTGTTTTCTACCAAAAGTTTTTTGACTCTGTCAATTATTCTTCATCATCATAATTTCATTATTTTTTGCTACGAGACATCAAACACTGACTTTCAATGTCATACCACCAAAAACATAAACAAACATTGATCAAGATAATCACAATCGCATGTCAACGATACAATTTGGTTGAAAATCAACTCACCATAAATAAATCATCATAATATTAACTCTCGAACTCTTGATCCCAAAACAAAAAACGCCTCCATAATGTAGAGCAACTATGAAAAACTCATTTTGAGTTCCTACAAAACCAAACAAATAGAAAGGAGTTTAGCAACAAAAATGCTAACAAAATACAAGAAAAAAAAATGCTAACAAACCTCTAATTTCCAAAATTATACTAACCATATCTAGGAGTAGGACTGTACTCAAGCTCTTTTCGCCGCAATTTCATCTGGCAGTTGGGGACTTCAATTCTTAGAGCAATTTTCTCAATCAAACATAGATAGCATACATCATATTCCTTGGTGGATTTACATTTCTCCTACATTCGTGATTCAGATTGTTGCTTCACTGGTTGATATTGAGATCTCCTCTATCGATTGCGGTTTCTCCTTCAATTGAGATATCTCTTTCGGGAAATTGAGAGTCGAAGATTTAGGTTTCTTCGACGTTTTGGGTTTCTAGGAATTGGGAATGAATCTGCCGATTTAGGTGGCAGACTTGGGGCCAAAATCTTATAAGTTTCGCGCCTTCTCTGATCCTGCCACGTAATCCACAATCGCTCCACATCAGGTAAAAAACAAGCCACGTCACACCACTTTAATTATTTATCAACTGTGCGAATAAAAAAAGGTCCAAAATTGATGAAATTGGCAAGTTATTGGACCAAATTGAAATGGTCAATGACGGAGTGGGTTATGGACATTGGTCAAATTATAGGACCAATTTTGAATTTTGGTCTAACATTGTGGCTTGTTTGATACTCGAGCGTTATTTTAAGTATAAATTACAACACATTTTTGAAGAAATATTAGCGTTTGATACCCGCGAATTATTTGAAGTGCAAATAATAACACATTTTTTATTTTGAAGCAATATTGAAAAATTAAAAGATAAAGTTGTATTATTTTTTAAATCTTTTTATCCATAATTTTTCAATTCACACACAACACATTTTCACATGTATTGTACTATATTACAATAGTTATTATAAAGTTTAAATTTTTTTAATTCTTTAATTAATTGAAATACATTTATACCAAACAAACAAATTAAAGTATCAAGTCATTTTGATATTATTTTCACAAGGTCCTTCAGAACTGATGAACCTGTCCTGCTAAATACATCCCCAATACTTAAACACTTTCACACACTATAATTCTCAACAAGTATAATTCACATATCATAATGTGCATTTTAAATACAATTAGCACATGATTAGTGAGTTGCTTCCCAATAATGAAACTCTCCTCCTGGTAAACTAGCACCTTCACTGTCTACCTTCCATGGGCAATCAGTTCGATTAAAACCGGTGCAAGGATTGTGCAAGCTTATCAACCACTTGCCTTCGAAAGCATGAAAGGACATGTAATTGTCACCCCAATAAAGGTTGCAGTAAAATAAGGTGGCAAAAGGGTTCACACAGAATTTGAAGCCCCAACTGTCACCATAACCGAGCGTGTGATCTCCAAGGTCGTCATCTTTTGACGCGCAATGCAGGTCGAGCGGCTTAGAGTCTTGTGGAAGATAATTGGTGAAACTCACACGGGCTTCATAGTAGAAAAAACAACTCGTACCCCTATCGAAAAGATATGTAGAGATGAGAAAAAATGACACGAGGTAAACAATGTTTGTGGTCCTAAACATGATGTTTAATTACTTGGTTTTAGGAAAAAAAAAAAAATATGTATGATGTATTGATAATTTTAGTTTGGTTTAGTGCATAATTTTATAGTTGAATTGTAGCTCTTGTGCAAGATTAATTAGTATAGGAGATGGGAGATGATCATAAATATTACATTAATAATGTTATGGTAATGTTAATATATTTTTCATGATAAAATTTATGGTGAGAAAAGACTTCCAAGATGTTATATTGTAGTAATAAAAGTTGTAATCTGTATGAAACATAAATCAAAAAATAAAATTGTAAAAGAAAATCCAAACAATTTGAAATTTAAAACATATAGAATATCATATTCAAGAAATGAAATTTTTTAAATTAAAATAATTTATATTTTAACAATCTATTTAATTTGTAGTATATAAGTATATTATTTTCATATAAACTCATATAATTATATTATAATAATAATTATATTACTTTTTCCACTAACAATTCAAGTACAAATTATACTCTTTTGACACTTTTCTATAACTTTTTTGCTAATTTAAATAAGTTGAATGTATGGAAAATATGTGAAAACATAAAAATTGGTAATCTATACTTATATAAAAAGGCATTCTATTTAATATAATTAGTAGTAAGAAAAGTCAAAGGTAATTAATGCATTCTATTTCCATCAAGTATTTTATCTAATTATTTTAGTTAATTGTTTTATCTCATAACACCTTTTTTAATACAACTTACCATAATTTTTATATTGTGATTAAAAACCAAATTTTACGTTTAAAATCTTGTGAAATTATTATTATTATTTTTATAAAGCACATATTATTTGTTAAAAAATTGCATATATATATATATATATATATATATATAGAAAATACACATCACAGTACCATGGTAGATGATTTTAATTTCAACCGATCAAAATGCCAATGATTTAAATTTGAACACACTTATGCGTTTGGCCAAATGTCTGGATGATTTAAAATTGAGCCCATAAAAAATTATTTAAATTTGAACACACCAGAAATTTTATGTACTTTTTATTTATAAATATATTGAAAGTGTATTTAATGACTGTTATATAAACTATTTTAATATATTTGCAATGAATAAAAGTTTGAATGAATAATTTGTAATGTTATTCATAATGTTTGTGACTTATGAGACACGAACACCTAACTCCATATATATTTGTCGGGGGGGGCTTAATAATTTTTTAGACTTAACGTTGATTAAAAGAGGTAGAAAGTAGATAATAACATTATTACTTTTTAGACTTAAACGTACAAGGCTGTGAAAATAATTCATTTAATATCTTTGTCCCGTACATCGCACGGGGTACGTACTAGTTCATGAAAAAGTCCATATAAGATATGCTTAATGGAAAAAAAAAATATATCAAAACTGTTAGTCATGCGTCAATCATTAATGAAATACATGATGAGAGAGCGTTCAATCTAAATTTGTTATTGTTAATGTTTGAAACTTTATAATTTATATTGCTCTATTATTATATATAATTTTATAATACAACTTTCTAATTTTTCTGTACATTAATTCAAATCTATAATTATTAAAAAATATATAGCCTCCCTCAAAATAAATTTCTTGATCCACCCTTAGCGTGAGTAGAACCATGTTGCATGGGGCTAATTTTCACGGACCAAGGCGACCTGACCAATAATCCAGGTCCCAATTCAACCAGGGGCACATAGGCCGGCCCATATAAGTCTTTTCTATACTACTAATATTCATTTAGCATTTGGGCCCATATTAGCCATTTCTACTACCGAAAATTGTGCATTATTTCATGTTTGGCCCAAGAACTTATAATGTGTAGGACCGACTCTGTTCCTATGTCACTTATAAGGATTCTTCATAATCTGATCATCCCACACAAGTCACCTAATATTAATGTTTCAAATTTAATAATTCTCTTATTTGTTATCCATTTTTATGATTAATCAAGCAATATTTTGAACATTCTCGAGTTAATATCCATATTTCATACGTATAACCAAAAAAAAAAAAAAATCTACTTTTATATGTAAAAATTAAATTTATCTATGATTCTTAATTAAAACTAATCAAACTATTTACCATCAATTAAAAATAATTTAATATTGTTGCTCGTTTGATACCAGAGCATTATTTTTAAGTATAGACACAATTTTTGAATACAATTACCACTAATCATTTTAAGTTTTAATTATTTTAAGTATAAATTAAACACTTCAACGCTTTATTTCTTAACACACATATATATCATGATGTGCATTTTAAATACAATTAGCACATGATTAGTGAGTTGCTTATTCCCAATGATGAACCTCTCCTTTTGGTAACTTAGCACCATCACTGTCTACCTTCCATGCACAGTTATTTCCACGATTGCCAGCGCAAGGATCGTGCGCGCTTATATACCACTTGCCGTCGAAAGCATGTACGGACATGGACTTATCGCCCCAATTAAGGTCGCAATAAAATAAGGTGGCAAAAGGGTTCACGCAGAATTTGAAGCCCCAACTCTCACCATAACCGACCGTGTGATTTCCAAGGTCATCGTTTTTTGACGCGCAATGCAAATTGAGCGGCTTAGAGTTTTGCGGAAGATTGTTGGTGAAACTCACACGGGCATCATAGAGCAAAAAACAACTCTTACCCTTGTGGGAAAGATTCGTAGAGAGGAGTAAAAATAACGCGAGGTAAACGATGTTTGTGGTCCTAAACATGATGTGTTTGATTAATTGGTTTTGGGGGGAAATTTATATATATGGTGTATTGATAAATTTTCTTTGGTTAATTACATAATTTTATAGTTGAATTGTAGCCCATTGTACAAGATCAGTATAGGAGATGGATGATATAAATATTACATTAATAATGTTATGGTAATGTTATTGGATTAGTCATAATGGAATTTATTGGGGGTAAAGACTTCTAAGATCTTATATTATAGTAAGAAAAAGTTGTACTCTGTATGAAACATAAATTAACCAAAAGATAGAATTATAAAAGAAAACCAAAAAAAAAAAAAAAAAATCCAAACGACTTGAAATTCAAACATATAAAATATCATATTCAAGAAATTACATTTTATTAACTAAAATAATCTATATTTGAACAATCTAGTGTAACTTTAAATACAAGGTGTAGCTTTATGTAACTTTAGAAATTAGGTGTAAAAAATTTAATTAAAAATATCAGGTGTAACTGATTGTTATGTTATTGTGCCTATTTTTTATGTGTTTTTGTATGTTATCGAGTTGGTTTTAGGTTTTTTTTAGTGTCAACCGATCTATTTTATCGTTTTCCGTGTGTTTTTGTGTTTTTGTGTCTTTTGTTTTATTTTATATTTTGGCGTACTTTTCCGTGCTTTTGGTATTGATATAGCCATATCGCAACATAGCGGTTCAAACACTAACTACCCAGTCGAATGATAGGCATGAGGATCGACTCGGGTGAATCGACATCATGGAATCGACTTCCGTAAAGTCGATTCTTTCCTTAAGCTTCCTAAGAACTGTCTTCAGCTTAACAGGTTCCAGGTGATTCTCTCAGTCGACCTCCAGAAGTCGACTTCCCTCAGAAAGACGGATAGACGCAACATGATCTACAGATGTTTAAGAATGACCTAAGTCGACTCGACAATACCCGAAGTCGACTTATGACACCTCGAGGCGCCAAGACCTCTGACGACTCCTATATACTTCAACATATCATAGTAAAATTGCCAAGGATAAGAAGGAATCTAGATGCTGACTAGGAGGTGAATGGAATGCGAACCGATCAAGGCATTTTGGACATTTCACATAAGTCGGCCAGGGCATTTTGGGGACTTCAGGTAAATGTTTTGCTTCTATATAAAGGAGCTGAGGTAACTCCCAAACCCTAACTCCCATTCATTCCATATTCTCCTCTATAGCTGCTGCTCCTCTCTCAGAGCAGCTTATCTCCATCTCTTTCACGTACTGACTTGAGCGTCGGAGGCTCTACGCCGGAAACACCTCCAACGTTGAGTTTTTGTAGGTATTCTTGCGGTCCAGCAACAGTTCGAAGGCGATTTAGGCAAATCTGGGCCCATTTCCATCGGTTCGCTCTAGTTCTGAATAGTATTCATCAATAGAAGGCCTCCTTCGGGAAATGCCAATTGTGCTGTGAAAAAATGATAAGATCTGATAAAATCAGAAAAGTTTGAGAATATGGGGGGCTGGAGGATGTGTTGTGAATCCAGGCATTTGAGAGCAGACCCATCAGGTATATTTTCAGGTTTTTCCCGAGGATGAAAAGATGAGTGAAACCGAATCCCAAGAGATGAGCATTTTCGAGTCATTCCTATGAACAGCTTTCGGTCAAGTATATCGAGCCTTAGTCGAAATGGACGCATGGGAAAGGAAGCCATTCTTGCTCGAACGAGCCTCCGATGGAAAGAGGAATTCTATCCATGGCACACTTCTCTGATCGATCTGGTACACCCGCCCTACTTATTAGTAGCCAAAAAGGTTTTATGAGATTCATAAGGTCCGCTGGGCGCCTACCGACTATGTCATAATATTTTTTTTTGAACCGTATGCATCAAAAGGTGCGTGTGTTTTTTGATCCCCCCCTTTTTTGTCTGATGTATTTTTTTCTCACTTTCCTATTAACTCGGACTGAACACATCACTAATAGTCATAGGTTGAAGACACGGTCTTTACCCAAGATCCCAACATCACAATTTCGTTTTTGTTTAAATTGCGAAGTAAGTGGGCTTCTAAATCTGGTATTTCATTAGTGATTCGGTTCTTGGGGAAAAATCAATATACTTCTAATGTCGAATCAGGATTAACTAGGACAGAACTAAAGCATTGGGTTGAACTCTTCTTTGGGTTTTTTTTAGATGTTTTCTGACGTTTTTGATAAAACCCGGGAAGGAAGGACCAACGTCGTCGAGAGATAGGATTCATACCCAACAAGTAAAAAAAAGGAAGAGAATCTTGTTTATACTCTATTTGCCCCTCGTAAAAATGGGTTTGCCAGTACAGGCAGTGCTCGCGGCCGCGTAGCCCAAGCCGCGCACTCGCAGACGCGCACCTGCCCACATGCACGCCAGTCGCACGCGCTCCTGCCCAACTCGCGCCATCGCGGAAAAGGCCACGAGCTCGAGCGTCCCGCATAGCCCAGTTCACTGCACACTCGCGAGCCCGCTAAAGCCTCCGCGAGGTCGAGAGTGCCGGAATTCTGTGGCTCGCGTGCTCGCAGAATAAGCCGCGTGGTCGAGTGTCCCGCGCACCCCAACGCCCATGCACGCCGCGTGCCCGCGGAAAGACTAGCGAGCTCGAGAGTGCCGCACCTTCACGCCAACCCTCACTCGCGACCCCGCACCAACACCTGCGTGCTCGAGAGTGTCTCCGCGCCTGACCGCCCATGCCATTTGATGTCCGCGAGCTCGCGAATTCCGTGGCGACCTCGAGAGTGTCCTATTAAATGTGCGTGTTTTTAGTGTGTGTTTGTGGTGTAGCTATAAGTAGACATTATGCTTTGTATTTTTTAATACAACCCTCATTTCCCAACTTTTAAGTTGGGAAAAACCTCTCTATTTTCTTTTTTTTTTCTCTTTTTATGTTTTGGTTTGGAGCATATGAATCAAGTTTTTTGGCAAATTTCGGGCGACATTGTTTCGAGTAAAATTTCGAGCTTTTGACTCCGTTTCTCCTTCCAAGTGCGTGTAAGAG